GGGTCCTTCGCCAGGATAATTTTGCTTGGCTTTCCCGCGAGGGGAGCACCCCCGAAAAAACTCGAACTCAGAGCTTATATACAGGGAGTTCCAACAAACTAGGTCGGCATGCCCGGGTTCAGCCTCGCGGGCCGATTCTAAACCTTAGTTTAAAAATGCTTTGTTTTGTTTCATGCTGCGTCGTCATCGCGCGAGTGTAAGATTCGAAAACTTTGAAAAACATGCCTCGGTGAACTTCCCCCAGATACTTATCCGAATTGCCCTTCAGATCTTCACCCAGATTTTCCCTCAGATGTTCCCCTTGATCTCCCTGCAGATCTTCACCTCGATCCCCCCTTCAGATATTCCTCAGATCTTCCTCAGATATCCTCCAGATCTTCCTCAGATCTTGCTCATATCTTCTTCACAGGGCTCAACCTAAACACTGTTTACTTGTTTTTTGTTCCTGCTGTTTTCGTTTTCTTTTTCTTTGTTCGTTCTCAACGCGTTCGGGAACATGTTTCGCGCGGACTCTACACAGTAGGCGCAGGCCTGCCCGTTTGGGGAATGAGGCCTATGTTGTGTTTGGTGTGTTGTTCTCGCGCGGGCACGGGCCGTGCGTTTTGTTCGCGTTTTGCTCGTGTGCGGGACGGGTGGCCATGTGCTGCTTTTTACGCCCGTTTTCGTTTCGCGGCGTCTTCGCATTTCGCGCGGCGCGCCTCCTCCGTTTTCGTTTTCACTCAGCCTCGCGGATCTACCCTAAAATCCGATGTTTGAATTTCTTGGTTTGGTTTCATGCTCTGCCGACATCGCTCTGATGACTATGCTGAGGAGCTGCCGACGTCAGGGGGTCGGGGGGCTACTAGATTTGTTCGTCTGCGAGGGCGCCGAGTCGGTCATGCTGCGCCCGGGCCTCCGCGTAGGTTGCGGAGACGGTCGCGGCAGAGCGCTTCGTCGAGCTGAGGGGGGAGGCGAAGGCGTGCATCGCGGAGGAAGTGCTGGAGGAGATGCCGCGCCCACGGGTCTACGGGCCAGACTTTGAGGCGCGCGTGGTGAGGATGCCGGCCGCTTCGACGAGCGCCGTCGGTTGGCGGCGGGCACCTGGCGCCTGCAGCGCCCGCTCAGGCGGGGGAGTTGGCGCGGGTGGTCTCGGAGCCCATATTCGAGGGGGATCGAGGAGTTGCTCGTCTGGGCCAGGAGTTGACCGACGCTGCGGTCGTCTCCAGGCTTCCAGGCTCGGGAATCGCGGCTTCGCCAAGTCCGGCAAGGTCGCGGACGTGCTCGAGCAGATCCGAGCGGAGGACTTCGACGAGTACGTCGAGGATCGCAAGGCCTTGCTCTATGCGGGGGCGCGAGGCATGCCTGCGCCGCGCGAGGGCGAGGGGTCGCCTGCATGACCCGGCGCCCCAGGGCGGCCCTAGCCGGCCAAGAGGCGCCAGGCGGCGGCGGCGCTGGCGAGGGCAAGGCCACGGAGGAGGACGCGCGCGCGCTCTCGGTGAAACACAGCGCCCAGGGCCGCAGGGAGCGCGTTTGGGTCGACGTGGCGAAGGAGCTCGTCGAGGACGCCTCTGCGGACTGTCCATGGCCCCGGCGCCGCGGTTGGGGCGGCGCCTGCAGGCGGCTGGCTGGGGCGTGAACGATCGCTCCATCCACGGGATGCGGGCGATGGCGGAGGTGCTCGAACTTGCCGTTTTCCACGCTTCGGCGAACGTGGCCTCGCCGGCTGCGTTCGAGCGGCTGCGGGGGAGGTGGCGGGCGACGCTGGGGGCCCGCGCCGAGAACCCGACCAGCCCGAACTACGAGATTGCGAAGAAGTTCTCATGTCACGGTCGCCGCCACTAGATGGTCGCCCCGACCCCGCGGACCTTCGCGGCTGAGGAGGTGCGCGATGAGGCCGCGGTAGACAAGCAGACTAGCAAGGCGAGGGTCTTGAAGGACGAGGCCAGGGTTTCGCTGAAGCGTAGCATCAAGATCAGATATCCCAAAGACAAGGACAAGGATAAGGACGGCGAGCGATGGCGCCTCCGGCGCCCGTGAGAATCGCCGATGCATGGGCGCGAGCACAGGCGAGAGCGATGCCAGGGTGGGACCAGCGGCCTCGCTCCTTCTGCGCGAACTATGTCAACGTGCTTCTCTTGCACCCACGAGACAATCACGGGGGTGTCGACGGAGAGCCAACCTCGGATCTCACAGGTCACGAGAGCGGGATGAGGTCTGTCGGCGTCTCAACTGGCTCCACGATCGCGCGCGGGGCCCCCACGTGGACCCGCCCGTGGTCGGCCAGGTCAAGATTTTGTTTTCGGGCCGCGCTGCAGAACAGCCGCGCCCCACCCATCGCACGCGAGGAGGGGGCCGTTCGCGAGCTCCTCCAGCGCTAGCGTGGCTGCGACCGCGCTGCCTCCACAGTCGTCGAGTTCAATCGCCGCCTTGTCTCATTGCCAGACGGTGTCCA